ATTTTCAAAAAATTTCCTCAATTTTATATGAATTCTATTATTTACAAATTTTTTATAAATTTCTTCGCAATAATTTAATTATTTTCAATAAATAATCAAATTTTTTACAGGGATTGAATTATTTGGCATCATAAATAATAAAATTATTTTTAGGAATTCAATTACTTTCATAAATAAAACTTATCGCAGAATTTCAATTTTTTAAAATTTTAATACAATTTTAATCGAATTCCTCGAAAAATGTAATTGTTCTTAACAATTTTATTAAAAATCGTCAAAAGAAATCAATTATTTAAAAATATTTTGATAAAATTCTTTTTGAGAATTCAATTTTAAGAAACATTTAATTATTTAATAAATTATTTATTTTTGCATTTAAATAATTGAATTCACGTTGAATTTTCTAATAAAAAATGATTTAAAAATTAATTTCAGTTAAAATTTTAGATTTGAATATTTATTATGCAAACTAGCTGTCGTACCCGTCTTCGACGGGTTTTAGTTTCTACCAATACATTTAAGTGTGTCTACCAATCTGGAAAATCAGGAAATAGCTAGGGAATTTAATTTGACCGGAAAAAAATAATTATTAATTAGGTACCATTATAGCTATTTCAGTAGGAAAATATTACTATTTGAATCAGTGATTGACTTCTTATTATCAAATTAGTTATTTTAACCAATTCAAATGCAGAGAACAATATTTGTCAATTTGTAGTACTTTAATTAATGTATTAAAAATTAATCAAATTTTCCATACAGTTTTTGGAGTTATAGTAGAGTCTAATTGGAACTAATTGTATCGCAAGTAGACCCTACGTTACGACTGCTAAAACCTAACATAAGACCTATATTTTAGGCTGAAAGTAGGGCTTAAATTTTGACTCGGGTCTGTTTTCATAAATATTATACATCAATAAAAATTAAAGTAAAAAGCAATTTTTTAAAAGCGAATTAATATAATGAAACTTTTTCTTAATTTGATAGGAAAATTCCCGGTTCGACATATTCCCAGCTTTTTACAGTTTTTCCCGTTTGGTAGATACCCAGTTAAATGTATTAGTAGAAACAGAAAACTGTATACGGCAGCAAGTAATATAATCTATATTTATATGAACTTAAGGAACAGTATTTTCATAAAATAAGTAAATTTTTATAGCCATTTGTAGATTTATTTATGGATAAAATCAAGTATGTAAATTTAAATTTGACAAAAAAGAGATAAACCGTGAAAAATTTGGACAAAGCAGGAAATTTTGTTAAACAAAAATAGGCACCGTGTTAACTTTTGTCTTTACATTGCTCAAAACATCTCTTAAAGTTAAATCTAGAGTTAAAATGAAAAAACGTTTTAACATATAAGTTTTTGCCTAGTGGCATAATATGCTTGTATTGTATCACAGGTGACTTACAATTCTTGACATCCTGCAAAATCATTTTAATCATAAAAAATTTCCATTTTCAATATTTCTGAACTTCTTAAAAATATTAGATTAATTTGATAAATAATTTTGAATTGCACTATTTTGACGTCAAAATATTAATCAGAGACTCCAAAAATACTACTGAATTAAACTTCATATAGTAATTAGTATCGATTTTTTGATATTGAAAATATTTTTATATTTCTTATAGGATAGTATTTTTTGCAAAATTATGATAAAATCTGACTAAATAACATATAATATTCAATTTTAGAAAGTTTAAAAGCTATCCATTAAAAATTGTGGAATTTGGAAATTTTCCATTTTTGAAGTTTTTAAAAATATTTTTATATTTACATCTTAGTTGTAGAATAGTTTTCTTTTGCAAAATTATGCTAAAATGTGACCAAATAACATGTAATACTCAAATATAGAAAGTTTAAAAGCAATCCATAAAAAAATGTAAAATTTTGAAATTTTCGATTTTTTGAAAACATTTTTATACTTACATATTAGTTATAGGGCTTTATTTTTTGCAAAGTTATGCTATAATGTGACTAAATAACATGTAATAGTCAAGTATAGAAACTTTAAAAGCAATCCATAAAAAATAAAAAATTTTGAAATTTTCGATTTTTTGAATTTTTTGAAAAAATTGAATATCTCCCGTTCTAATTAATATTTTTTAAATCTGTAAATTTATAAACCTTCCTTGGGTCAATACCTAATAACCTACCAAGTTGGACTTAAATCGATTCACATGTTTTTGTGTGATTGGGGTACAAAGTTTTTGTGACAGACAGACATACATACATACATACATACATACATACATACATACATACATACGTACATACATACATTAAATTTTTTAAGAATATTTTTGGAATCTCTGATGTCCATAATAACTAATCATGTTAACATTTTGAAGTTTTAAGCAATGTACAGACAGACATCTGATTTTATTAATAAGGATTATTCAAATATTTAAATAATATTTGAACATTAAAAGCATTATAGCATGAATTTTAAGAAATAATTGAATTTTGATAAAGTTTCAAATTAAATTCTTTGAGAATCTTAATTTTTCATACTTATAACCAACAATTCTGTAGAATTAATTATTTTGAAAAAGTTTAATTGAATTTTTTTCTGAAATTATTTGAAGTGTTTAGTTTTTATAATACGTTCAATTATTGAAGAATTTCTGAATAAATGAAATTTCGTAAAATTGAATTGTAAACAAATGGATTTGAAAATTCTCAAAGAACTTATTAAAAAAAATTATTAAAGATAATTGATTTAAAGAAAAATTTTATTTAAAAAATCTAGGAAAAATAATTGACAAAATGATGAAAATAATTTTGAAAAAATTACAGTAAAAATATTCCTATTATATAAAATAATGATCTTATCACTCGGTTATCTTTAACTTATTATAAAAAATGAAGAAACAATCGTTTTTACAAATAGAAATTTTGTTAATATTTTTTCCAAAATAAATTTAAAATTTCTTAAACAAAATTTGAATTATAACATTTTTTTTTACTTAAAACTTGTAGGGGAGAGTAGTCAAGGTTGAATAGGTGGTCAAGGTTGGATAATGGCGCTTATTTCGTTTTATCACATATGACACCAACTTTTTTACAATGTTTAGCAAAAACATTGCATTTTGGTAGAACTTTCCAATAATATAAGAGGAAATCGTCAAATTCGGTAGACAGGAGAAGTTATAGAAAACAGTCAGTACCTGATCCAACCTTGACTACACTCCCCTACTTTGTTTATGAATTGTAATTGAGAAGCAGAAACTGTCAAACAATTAAGTTGTTAAAAATATTTTATTAATGTAATTTTTCGAAAATAATTGTATTTCTCCAAAGAATTTTTGTATAATTTAAAAAAACTAATGAATTTTTTGAAGAATTTTAATTAAAAATTTTGAACATTATTGTTTTCTTCAAAATTTTAAAAATAATACTAAAATATGATTATTTTTGGAAATATGTTATAATTAAAAATATAAAAATATTGAATTTAAAAAAATTAGAAGCTAATTTTCATTTTTAAATTTACCTTTAAAGATTTTTCATTAAAATTTTTGATAATTCAATTATTTTCAAAATTTGCATTTAAAATTCTTTAAAAGTTGATTTTCAAAAATAGTAACAAAATACTTGAAATAAATGGATTATTTTCAATTAAATTTTACAAAATTTTAACTACTCAAAAAGAATTTTTGAAAGATTTGTTTATAGTTATTTTTCGCATTATAGAAATCAAAATAAGTTGCACTTTTTTACTAAAAATTGTGGTATTTTGTTGCAATCTTTAGAAGCAAAGTCGTAAAAATTGCAATTTTTGAAAATGAGTCGAAAAAGTCTCAATTTTCTTAATTTCCCTGACAAAAAATTTTTTTCATGACATTTACCTGACTTAACTGACAAAAATTTTGTTTTAATGTGTCATGGAAATTTTATCATTTATCACCTGGAAATTATGGAAAATTTAAATTATGGAATTTTATAAGGAGAAATTTGTAGAAACCCTTGTAGACTAATCGATTATAATACTAATTTCGTATTAAACCAATTAATTAGTAAACTAAAAATCAAGAAAAGCAATGTTGAAAATTAATTTTTCTGTCAAATTTAATTCTCATTTCCTTTAAAAATAAAAATTTACTGCGCAAATAGTAATAGCATAATTAGAAACAATTTGAAAGATTGGAAAGTGAATATTTAGGAGAAGGATATATAAAAGAAGGGATAAAATACGAAAGCATTGAGTAATTATGATATAATGAATTTTCTATTTATTTTTTGGATCACTATACACTGTCCTAATTTTGTTTGTACAGACATTCTTTGCTTGGTTCACAGGTTCATTTGTCATCTCATCTTGAATATAACATTCATACGATAGAATTTACATCATAAAAAATCGTAAAACTCCCTAATTAAACTGACAATTAGGTATATTGCAGTGCCCCATCTATATGGCTCTACGTTTACCTACACAGGGGAAAAAATCTTCTAATTAATGACAAATATGCTATTTACAATATTATGTACACGAGATAGCCGGTGAAAGCGACTCATAATTTACGAGCTATATATATATATATTTACTAATAATTTATTATCATCGATTTAATCCGATCATGCGGACATCAATTTTCTTTTTATATAATAAATACATTATAATACATCCACCTAATTCGATCGCCACAATGTTCCATATTAAAGCGAAGAGGGGAATTTTTTTTCTTTTTTTTTTTGAAATCAACAAGAGACACGTTTATCTATATATTTGCGTTATATATAATGTCTAAAATTGAAAGCGAATCTAGAAATTTTAATTGTTAGTTTTAGAATCACATTGGAATTAGACTCATTAGTTGAGTTTTTTTCTAACACTGAGAAAAATGGTATTCTTAATTTAATTGTTCTTTATTTTAAATTTATTTATTTGAAATACACCCCGAGAAATGTTTTATTTGAACAAAATAAATGTACGTACAAAAAAATAATTTTTTTGAGCGGAAACAAAATATTTTTATTTATTATTTAAATATTTTCAATTATTTATTATTATATTCATTAAATAATTATTATTTATTATAAATTATTAAATTGAAATATTTTTAAAGTGGAGGGATTCAAATTCAAATTCAAACTGTTAAATTAAGAATAACATGTAATTTCAGTGTTTATTTGATTATTCCCACAAATTCGTTGTGAGACAGTCGCACAATATAAAAATCTTTACATTTATAATAATTCACTGAGATCTTACAAATTTACAGACAATAAGATATACATAAACTTTTATACGAGATATTTTTACCTAAATCGATTAATAACAATTCTTTTTTTCCGAAGATTTTTAATGTCGATTAGAAATATTTGATTAAAATACAATTTTTTGTTTTGAATTTTAGTAAAATTTTCTGTTTGAAAAAATTAATATCGAAAAATTTATTCTTCTTCTATTTTTTTATTCTTATTTAACTATTTATTTGTTTTATTTTTTCTTTAAAAATTTATTTTCCGTTCCTATCGATTAAGAATTCGCAAAATAAAATTATTTTCGACAAATGGGGAGATTTTTCAAAGAAATTTTTGAGAAAGAAATATTTTTTTCGTCACGGAGAAGCAAAAAAAACATGTTCAAAAAAAGTAAGATTCGTTGGGAGATTTTTTGAAAAAGAAATACTGAGGGAAGCAAAACAAAAATATCTTCGAAAATGGGAAGATTTGTTAAAAGATTTCTTCGAAAAGGAAATATTTTTTGGTCACAGGGAAGAATATATTATTTCTTTCCCAATATACAAAGCTTCTTGAAATAATTTTGCAAATATTGAAAGAAATCATCGCGCTTTCTTTTTCGGTCACAAATTTGGTATTCAATTTATTTTTTTTTCCTTTTTTTTAATTTTTATTTCTTATTTTTTCGTTTTGAATAGTGATAGGAAAAACAAATGCTCTATAGTTTTTCTTCCATCGAATTTGGTAGTGGCCTCTTCTTCAATATCCCGAGATCCTGAACATTTTCAAGAAAAGTCTTGTGGTGTTGAGCCACAATAAGAGGATTCACAGTCTGCACATCTTTCTTCAGTTCCTCCATGTCCCTTTTCAATTTCGCTCGTCGATTTTGAAACCACGTGATCACCTGAGCATTACTTAGTCCCAATTGCGCGGCAATTTCGTCTCTGTCAGCTGGACTCAAATATTTCTGATACAAAAATCTCTTTTCTAATTCAAAAATTTGTTGATTCGTGAATGCCGTTCGACTCTTTCGCTTCTTCTTCGGTTGCTGTCGATTGTTGAAGAGGTTCAAATGATTGGCTTGCTCTGTAACAGAAAGAATAAATTTAACATTAGAAAAATATGATTTTTTGTTTATAGTTGAGGAAGAAATAATTTAAGCAAAATTGAAGAATTTTTATGATCAAATTTTTGGTAAAAAATTTGATCAAAAAAATTCTTCAATTTTGCTTTATTTAACATTTTCGTAATATTTTTTGACAACAAAATATTAAAAATGTTTTGATTAATAGAAATTTTTTTGTTTAATAAATTTTTTGATTAACAACTCTTTACTAACAAAATTATTTAAATAAATAAATAACTTTTTATCACCAAAGTTCTTTGATCAACAAAATTCTTTGATCAACGAAACATTTTTATCGATAAATTTTTTTAATGAACAACTTTTTACAAACAAAATTCTTTGAGCAACAAAACATTTTTATCGATAAAATTTGTTGATCAACAATTTTTTAGCAACAGAATTCTTTGATCGACAATTTTTTTTGGATCAAATTACACTTTTAGATAATTTTGATGATAATTTGTTTTAACACCATGTTTGGGTAATCAATAAAATTTTGAGAAGTGAATAGAATTTTTTCCTCGATTGAATATATATAGATTTCAGTTTGAGTGAAGAAAGGAATAGAAAAAAATTCGTATACACAAAATGATTGGGAATTATTCCCGTTGTGGTGGGCAGATAAAAAAGTCATAATCGCCTTTGGTGGCAAAGGTGAGAAACGGAACAAGTTACGAGAGGGAATAGTAGAGAGCGAGCCTTTACTCATATGCAAAAGCAAGCCACAAATCAGATGCATCTCGAGATGTCGAGAGAAATCCCCCCATAAAAGTCGTATTACAGATTCGTTCCGGACCCATCACGAAATTCCGAACTCGCCACATAGATATACTATATATCAAAGAAAAAAGAATATCCTCCAAACCCAGAAAGACATCAGAAAACAGTTTTCAATTTACAACTTTCTATACAACACTTAATTCTCATTGATTTTTTTTTATAGTTTCATCAGTCGATTTCCGTCATATAGTCGGATTAAACCAAAAAAATACAAAAGCTATTAAAATTTGTGGTATTTTTTTATTAAAAAAAAAAAATTAAGTCTTGTGTAATTTTTCTATAAAATAAATAAGGCGAAATTATGATTGATATCTGGAATTTTGATTCGAGGGCAGGGCAATGTTTTTCGTGATAAGAATTAGATGAAAGAATTCGATTGTAGAAAATTAGTACAGGAAATCATTGAGGATATCTACTAGTTCATGGAAGGTGTTATGGATCAGATTGGAAATAATTGGGTTGAAATAGGGCAGAAGCTCGATGAGTCGCGGACAAAGTAGCCGGTCGTTTATGGAGATCAAAGAGTGCCGCCATCGGTTACACCTGCGCGCAACTCGAGTACAGTCATCTTCGAAAGCAGGTATTATTTCTTCACCTCTTCGTTTTCTTCTCCCTCTCTTTGACTTCTCTTCCTTTTTTTTTTGGTCTTTTACTTATTTTCTTTGATTTTTTATTTTTTCCTTATTTTTTTTCTATTCTATACTAACTCTAATCTCTTCTATTCCCTTCAATAGTTTTCCTTGCATTTTTTCTTCTGCTTCTCCTTTATTTCTATCTCTCTTTTTCTTACTTTTTTCTTCTTTTGTTTTTTTTTCTTTTTCGTATTTTTTATTCTCTTGTTATAATTTTCTTTTGTTTCTTCTCATTTTCCTATAATTTTCCATCTTTATTGTTTCTTCCTCCGAGTCTTCGACTCGGAGCAATCGATGTCTTCATGTTTTATAATAATTAAAGATGACCGAGCGATAAAATCATTAATTTATATTATACTTTATAAAAAAAAATTTTTATTATTTTTTATGAAAATAAACGAATTTCAGTGGAATTTTCATTATTTATAAAAATAATTAAATGTTTGCGTACTTATTTTATTAGAATTTTTGCAAATAATTGAATTTCAGAAAAGAATTTTATTATTTATAAAGATAATTGAAATTTTGAACAGATTTTTAAAAAAATTTTTAAAGGTAATTGAAATTTGAAGAAGAATTTTGATATTTATAAAGATAATTGAAATTTTGGTGAGAATAAGAAGAAACATTTTGAAAAAAATTGAATTTCTGCGAAGAATTTTTTTACTTTTGAATATAATTGAATTTTTGCAAAGAATTTTATCAGAACTTGTGAAAATAATTAAATTTTCAGGATTAATTTTTATTATTTATAAAAAAAATTAAAATTTCGACGAGAAATTAAAAAAAATTTTTTGAAAATAATTGAATTTCTGCGAAGAATTTTATTACTTTTAAAAATAATTGAATTTCTAGGATGAATTTTATTATTTATAAAGATAAATGAAATTTTGACGAAAATTTGACAGAAATTTATAAAAAAAAAATTATTAAGTAATTGAATTTCTCTGAAATTTTCATTATTTAAGAAAATAATTAAATGTTTGCGTACAATTTTATTACAATTTTTGAAAAAAATTGAATTTCAGAAAAGAATTTTATCACTTATAAACATAATTGAAACTTTGACGAGAATTTAAAAAAAATTTTTGAAAATAATTGAATTTTTGCGAAGAATTTTATTACTTTTGAAAATAATTGAATTTTGCAAAGAATTTTATCAGATTTTAAAAATAATTAAATTTCCGGGATGAATTTTATTATTTATGAAGAAAATAAAAATTTTGACGAGAAATTTAAGAAAATTTTTGAAAATAATTGAATTTCTAGGATAAATTTTATTATTTATGAAGATAATTGAAATTTTGCCAAGAATTTTATTTAAATTTTTTAAAATAATGGAATTTCGGAGAAAAATTTTATTATTTATAAAAATAATTGAAATGTCAAAGAGAATTTTTAAAAAAACGTTTAAAATACCTAATTAAAATTTTGCTCAGAATTTTATTAAAATTTTATTCATGATTGTTTGAAATTAAAGTATGTGTTGTCGAGAAATGTGATTTTCTTTACAATTTTTACAAGTTCGTGTTTCTTTTTTGTCGTCTTTTCTAAAATTTCATCCGACTTTTTCGGAAATTTTATGCGACTTTTCGTGACTTTTGTTGTGAATAAATAAATTTTTGTGCGTGTATTACTTATTTATTTTTATTCTCTTTTTTATGTTGTAATAAAAAAAGCTTAAAAACGAGAAATATTTTTACTAAATATTTAGATATTTTTATTATTTATTAAAAGCGGTTCTAGCGAATAGCAAATACTAGTAGAAAAAGCAAAGAAGAGTAAACATTGGAAAAGAAGAAGAATCAAGAGAAGAAAAAATAAAGAGAGAGTAAAAATAGGAAAAGAAGATGAAACAAATGAAGAAAAAAGAAGAAACAAAAGAAGAAGAAGAAGAAAAGGAGAAGAAACAATAAAAAAAATTCCATTCTCTCTCCATTTTTTCTTCTTTTGTTTCTTCTCTCATCATTTCCCTATATTTTTTACTTCCCCCCCCCCTACTTTTTCTACTTCCTTTCTTTCTCCTTCTCTCTCAATTATTTTTGGTGAACCGAAGAGTCGACGGTGAAACTTTACATTTTGGTGAGTAGTGTGGCATCAACAAAAACACTTCTCCTTTGTCCTGTCGATACATTCTACTGAGAAGATTTATCAATTTTCTTTTTCGTTAGGATCTCCTCGTCCCATAAGTAATCGACATGATTCATTCAACGAGCCAATTCAGTGTGCTGTCAATTTTCATTATCCACCAACCACAGCTTCGACGAAATTAAAATTCGATTAGCCTTATTGAATGTTCATTATCTTTTTTCTTCAATCTTCAATTCCTCATTACCTCGCTCTTAAACATTTATCATTCGAAAATGTAATCGGCAGGGATTTTTTTTTAAGTTAAAATTATGCTTTCAATTTTTTTTGCAACTATACTTTTTTTTCGTGAATATACAGTCCAACTTTCAATAATAAAAATTTCCGCAGAAATTAAATTTCTTGAAATTGATTTAGGGTCCTTGGAAAAAATCTTGATATTTAAAAAAAATTGGATAAATAAAACCCTTGAGAATTTGAATTTTTTTCTATGCGTACCTTGGGTTTTAATTTATCGAGAGTGGACTGTATTTAACAATAATTAAATAATTTGATGAAATTTTTTTTTTCTATTTCAAATTTTGCGAAATCATTTGAATAAAAATTTTTAAAATTAGTTAAAACTAATTTGCAAGCACTTGACTTGATAGAAAAATTAATAAGCTCAAATTATTTAATTAACACCAGCGATTGAAAATAATGATAATGATAAAATGATAAATGAGTGATAAATTCCGAATAGTACGATATTAGAGAATAGTTTTATAAATTATATTCTCTTTCCCAGTATCATCTTCACCTGAAGTAAAGTAACACCCCTTTTAGTTTTTATAGCACACTGCAGTATTGAGAAAATCTCGGAAATGAAATAGAAACATTTCACAAATTATTCCACTTGTAAAATGGCTTTTGCAAAGAAGTACTTATCGTACTTGTACTTTTGCAAACTAAAGAAGAAAAAGAAACTTCTATTAAGAAAATGACATATTATTTTTATAGTAGAAAGAAACGGTGGAAAATTGAGCAACTCGAAAGACAGATGATCTCCTTTCTTCACCAGAAAAGTTATATACTATGATATACAAGAAACAGTTAATGGTTCCCTTATTTCCAGGAAAATTGTATATAGACATAGATATTTGCAACATTTTCTCTGTGTGTGAGAGAGAAAAAGAGAGAGTATAGAGTAGCTGAGGTACCAATATCACGAGAGAGAGAGAGCATAAGCACAACACAGTGGAACAAAACTGACGAAGAGAGGCGCTGAGATATTAGTTTCTGCGGTCGACTCGCCGCGGAGATTTAATTCGTTTGATGTTCACGAATTTGCCGCTGCCTTTTTCGCAACACGTTCAGTCCAAAACCTCTCTTCCTTCAAACGACGACCTTCCTATGTTCCTCACCTCTTTTCTCCTTTTCCTTTAACCAATGACTCTGCAGCACTATGCCGCACACACTTC